GGCCATGGGTGGATTTCTGCACCTTATCCCCGTGACTCCTCCCAAAAAATCTGGGTCATGCCCTGGCAGGTGTTTGCTGCAGGAATCAACCCTTCCCAAGGCTGGGATGATGAGGGATGTCCCTTCCCCAACATTCCTCCTCCTCCAAACTGCCTTGGAGGCAGAAGCCTTAAGGATCATCCCATTCCCAAGGGCATTTCACCTTTCCCCATCCCAGCTTGCTCCAAGCCCTGGCCTTGGGCACCTCCAGGGGGATATTTTGGGGCTGTAGAGCTCTGCAAGAGCTGGGGGAGATTTGTTTGAGCCCAGAGAGATTTTGCATGAAAAATCCCTGCCCAGGACCCTCCTTGGGCAGTGGGAGGATCTGCCCTGTCCTTCTCCTGGTCTCAGTGGTGGCTGAGCCATCCTGGCTCATCCCAGGAGCTTGGACAGGGCTTGGAGCACCCTGGGACGGTGGGAGGTGTCCCAGCCATGGCAGCAGGGTTGGAAATAAATGATCTTTAATGTCCCTTCCAACCCAAAGCATTCCAGGATCCCGTGGATGTTCCCAGTGCAGGTCAGACCAACTCGAGGATCCCATTCCCAGGATTTTGGTTCCCAGGCCTGGCTCTCTGTGACCTGGTTTGTCTCTCCCCACACTCAGTGCAGGTGGGAGGAAAAGCTCCTCTGAATCCTCCAGCATTTCTACAAAACCTGCTCCTGCTCCAGGGCTCAGTGGGAACAGCTCAGAGCTCTCTGCATCCTGAGCTCCTTTTTCCCTCAGGATATTCCCAAATTCCTCCTCAGCAAGAGGAGAACTCCTTGCACAGGAGCACATCCCATGAAAGAAAAGGCTTTGTGTGAGGCAGAGGGTAAAAGAGATGATATTGGAGATTGTACAATGAGGGATTCTGATGATAAAAGTCCCAGGCATTTCCGTTTCTTTTTCCCTTTTATTCCCAGCTTTCCCAGCATTTTTTTCCAGCATGATTGGNGATCCAGCCCTGCCCTCTGCCCCTGGCAGCCATTCCCTGGCTCCTGGCCCTGCAGCCCTTGGCAATTGTCTCTCTCCAGCTTTCCTGGGGCTCCTTCAGGCCCTGCAAGGCCACCCTGAGCTCAGCCCAAAGCTTCTCCTGGCCAGGCTGAACAATGGCAGCTGTGCCAGCCTTTCCTGCCAGCAGAGCTGCTCCATCCCTCTGCTCATCCTGGAGCCTCCTCTGGGCTCTCTCCAGCAGCTCCAGCTGCTCCCTGGGCTGGGCCCCAGGGCTGGGGCAGCTCTGCAGGTGGGGTCTCACCTCAGGGGGCTCAGGGCACAATCCCAATCCCTTTCCTGCTGCCCACCCTGGGGCTCTCCCAGGGCATGGGGGACTCTGGGATGGGGCAGGCCCAGCTCTCCCAGGGCTGCTCCCTCTGCTCATCCCAGCCTGGATTGATCTGGGGGGTTGCCCTGACTCAAGTGCTGCACTTGGCCTTGTTAAACCTCATGAGATCCCACGGGACACTTGTGGAGTTTGTCCAGATCCCTCTGGCTGGTCCCTGCAGGGCAGCTCCTGCCACGTTCCCGGTGAGCTCCCGAGCTCCTGTGCAGGGTTTGTGCTGCTCCCTGCAGCCATTCCTTGAGAAAGGCTCCATGGAGGATCGTTCCCATTCCCAGCCCAGGGCTCCAGCTGGATCAGGAGATCAGGGACTGGGTTTGGGGCAGTGATAACAACGTGTAAAACTGAAACAGGATGCCAGAGAAATATTACATGAGATAAGAGCAGTTATCAGCTGTAAAGAATGTTCTGCTCGCTTCTGATTGCTCCTATCTTCTACTTTTATCAGTTTCCTCCTGCTTGTCTCTGAACAAGTTTCCAGGTTTAGCAGGTCTGACCCAGCCAGCTGCAAATAAAGATAGCACTGATAACTCCAAATGGCACAGGGGACTCGCTCTGGACTCTCTCAGCCCGTGGCTGGGAAGGATTTTCCAGCTGGACTCTTTAATCCCAGGGGTCTGAGCTCCCATCCCTGTAGCTCTGAAGATTTCTGCTGGTGAAATAAAAATCTGCCTGCTACAGGTGCAAGGTGTCCATGAGATAGGAAATAAGAGCTTGGAGCTCTCCAGGGTGGGGAGGGTGAAGGATGAGCCCTGGATCTCGGCACGGCAGAGCTGCCTCACATCAGCACTGATTTGTTTCCCTGGATGTATTTCCCTCACCTTTTCTTGCAGCTGGAATTGGGACCTGGCTGTCCCAAAGCTGGGCCTGGAGCGCTCCCACACCCCTGTGAGAGTGGATTTATTGTGGGCAGGCAGAGACAGGCTCTAAACCAGCAGGGTTAGATTGGAGATTGGGGCTGCTCTGGACACCCTGTGCCAGGGCCCTCACCCTGCCAGGGAACAATTCCTGCCCAAGATCCCATCAAATCCTACTCTCAAGCCATTCCCTGGCTCCTGGCCCTGCAGCCCTTGGCCCCAGTCCCTCTCCAGCTCTCCTGGAGCCCCTTCAGGCCCTGCAAGGGGCTCTGAGCTCTCCCTGCAGCTTCTCCTCTCCAGCTGAGCACCCCCAGCTCTCCCAGCCTGGCTCCAGAGCCCTCAGAGCATCTCCACGGCTCCCTCTGGACTCATTCCAACATTTCCATGTCCTTTTCTGTCCCCACTGTCGTTTCACGGAGCTGGAGGTGCCACAGAGCCCGGCCCAGGCTGCCCTGGGCAGGAGCAGCTGGGGAGGGAACCGTGCCCAGCACCGGAGCCAAACTCACCCTGGGAGCTGCAAGCCCCGGGAGCCAGCTCCAGGTGAGGAATTTGCTGCTGACATTTTGATTTTTGTGCAGATCTGGGTGCCCTGGGAGAGATCCCAGCACCTGCCTGGCCCTGGTTAATCGGGTGGAGAGAGGGGACGGGTGAGTGGGTGCCCGCTGGGGAGGATCTGCCCCCTTCCCTGAGCCTGTGGAACAGGTTGGGAGGAAAAAACAGCATCTGGGGCCACAAGCAGTGCCTGAAACTCTGATTTTATTGCTTTGTACAAGTGAAAAAACCAGGGGGGAAGGAGAACTCCAAGGCTGGAAGGTGCAAGCCCACGGTGGGAATCCACAGGAGGCACCGAGGGGTGAGGGTGGCACAGCAGAGCTGAGCTATGAGACCCCCTCTCCTTTTTCATTTCAATTAAATAAAAGGATAGAGCTGCTAAAAGAAAACAAAAAAATGGGATACAATTAATGCTGAGAATCCCCCTCCTCACAAATAACCCCCCTGGAGGTATGGAAATAACATGATCCAAAATCCCTGAAAATTCAGAGAGCAGCAGGAGGGAGCCCTGGGCACGAGCTTCATTCAAAGGGTTTCACAGCATGGAAGGTTTTCATGTCATTAAATGTTTTCATGAATTAAAGTTTTGAATTCATTAAAGGGTTTAATGCCATTAAAGGCAATTTTTGGTGCAAGTTTAAGCCTGGCTCTGCAGCTCCTCTCCCAGGGCAAGCCCTAAACAGTGAGATCCCAAAAGAGCAGCTGAGAAATCAACATTTTTCCAAGCTGACCTTGGGTTTCCATTCCTCTAGAGGAAAAAGTGACTGGGATAATTAAGCTGCTGGAGATTTTCCAAGCTGCTCCAGACACCAAAAACGTGGATCTTGTCCTCAGCTTAGTGGTAGGCACTATATAAATATCTTTTTAAAAAAAAACAACCCAGCATTTTGAGTGTCCTGAGTGTTCTGGGAACACAAACACGGCTGGAATATTACTCAGATGAAAGTGCAGTGCTAAAGGAGTGCCTGGAAAAGGGCTCTGCTGGAATTGCTTCCCTATCCCAGCTCCCTTCCTCGCCTTCCCTTGGAAACAGCTGCTCTGCTCCTCTTTCCAGCCTTCCCCACTTCTCTTTCCTCTCCAGCAGCTAAAAATGGGATTTGTATCTGCAGAGCAGAACTAAAACCCCCACTCCTGTCCAGACTGGTGTTTCCTTCATCCCAAACCAGCTCCAAGCTGTTATTTTAAGGAACACGGTGTCCAGGGGAGATGGATTTCTCCTTTTGACAGGCAGGTTGGTGCCACAGCAGCTGAATTTGGCTGTCCTGTCCCTCCTGACACAACCTCTGAAGAAGGGAAGGGCAGGAAAACCTTCCTGCCATGGGTTTTGTGTTGGATCCTTGGGATAAATCCCTGGGAGCTGCAGGAGCTGCTCCTGGAATCTGAGCTAAGCACAGACATCACCTCCATGTGATTAAACAGCAGAAATTACGGAATTGTTCTTCCCACAGTGGGAATTCCCTTCCCAACCAGGGGCTGGAACTTGGGAATTGTGCAATAATTAATTGGGATTGAAACTTGGGAATGTTACCCACATTCATGGCAAGGACCTTGTGGGCTGCTCAGTCTTTGCTCGTGGATTTTGCTGCCAGGATCAAACCCCATCCATAGGAAGGAAATGAAATGGAGTGGTCCCAGCAAGAGCAGTCTGGGAGACCTGCTGGGAATCCAAATCATGGAATCAGTGAGGCTGGAAAAGCCCTCCAAGACCTTGGAGTCCAACCCAGCATTAACCCAAGTCCCCACATCCCACACCCATCACAGTCACTAAAATTCCCTCCATTGTCTGTTCTTCCATGGAAATGTTCTTCAGGGAAAAAATGGGGAACTTTTCCTAATGTTTTATCACCAAGAGGGGCACGATTCTGAAGGAAATAGATGAGCACAGCGTTGTACAATTTATAAAATCACTCTTCTAAGCTGGACAAAAATGCCAATGAAATCTTTCAGCTGCTTTTTCTTGGGAAAATTTGGTCTTTCTGGAAAATTATTGTCCAAGCCACGCTTGGCAATTAACATCCCTGCCCTGTGTTTGGTTCTAATTAGGTCCCAATTAGGCTCTAATTTCACACCAACACCACCAAGATCTGTCTTTGTAGAATCAGAGAATGGTTTGGGTTGGAAGGGAGATAAAACTCGTCCCATTCCCATGGCAGGGACACCTCCCACTGTCCCAGGAGCTCCCAATGTCCAGCCTGGCCTTGGGCACTGCCAGGGATCCAGGGGCAGCCCCAGCTGTTCTGGGCACCCTGTGCCAGGGCCTGCCCACCCTCATGGGGCAGGATTCATTCCCAAAATCCCATCTATGCCCTGGCAGCCTGAGGCCCTGGCTCGGGAGGTGAAGCTGATGAGTCCGTGACATTCCGTGCGGATCCCGCCTCACGGCGATCCCAAGGCGGCGCCGGTGCCGGGCTCTGGGGCAGCTCTGGGATATCCCAGATCCATCAGCTTCACCAGCACTGCTCCTTCAGCCTGGCCAAGGCTCTGAGCAGGGCCAGCAGCTCCCCTGGCCCGCAGCAGGCACCACTCACACCGTCCCCATGCCAATCCATTCCCCCCTTTCCTCAGGAAGATTTCTCCTCGGGGATCTTCGTGCCCGGCTGCTCCACGGCCAGCTGGTTCTCCAGGACGCAGCAGAGCTTGTAATTCTCGATGATCTTGGCCTGGAAGTACTCCCTGTCCTTCTTGTGCCAGGTGTCGGTGGCGATGTAGGTGTTGTAGGGGTCGCGGGGCCCCTCGAGGCGCCGCGCCCGCAGGTTGGTCACCATCACCCCCACGGTGAAGAACCCGAAGAGCCCCAGCATCAGCAGCACGTAGATGATCTCCAGGTTGTCGCTGGTGCTCCTCACCTGCGAAGGGGCTGAGCTGTTGCTCTGTTCCAGGCAGTCCTGGAGCAGTTTGGAGAGGAGCAGGTTCAGGGCCGTGTTGTTGGACAGCACCAACATTTTGATTTTCTGTCCTTGGTACTTCTTCCTTCCTTTGGCTAGGATAAAAGGAAAGGATAAAAATCAGGTAAAGGTGGGATTTATTCTGTCTCCCTTTCCTGGTTCCCCTTCTCAGGGAGGGATTTACCTCAGAGAGCCTGGGCTGAGCCCATCCCCACCAACACCTTCAGAACACTCTTGGGTTTCACAGGAGGTGTGGAGCTGTCACAGACCCCACCCCAACCTCCCTGAGCCCCCCAGGCATGAGGAGTGTCCCAGGCTGAGGGAATCTCTGCTCCTGCCACAGGGACAGCAGCAGGGAGCAGCTGCAGCTGGCCCAGCAGGGATTTAGGTTGGCTTTTAGGGCAAGGCTCTTCTTTCCCCACAGGCTGCTGGCACTGCCCAGGCTCCCCAGGGAATGGGCACGGCCCCGAGGCTGCCAGAGCTCCAGGAGCATCCAGGGATGCCCAGGCTGGGCTTGCTGGGGGGTCTGGGCAGGGTGGGATTGATGATCCATGAGGATCCTTCCAGCTCAGGATATTCCATGATCCTGTGATCTCTCCCAGGCACAAGAGGCTGAAGGTTCCTTTTCCCTCTCCAATGCCACCTGTGAATCACTTAAAAAGAGGAATCCTGTCAGCACCACATTCCCAAATCCTCAGCAGCCAGGTAACATCAAATGATAAAATCATTTTGGGGTTGGAAGGTACCTCAAAGTTCATCTTGTTCCAGCCCTGCCATGGCAGGGACACCTCCCACTGTCCCAGGAGCTCCCAGTGTCCAGCCTGGCCTTGGGCACTGATCCAGGGGCAGCCCCAGCTCCCCAGTCTCCCAGGGAGGAAATTTTTCCTAATATCTGATCTAAACCTGTAATTTTTCAGTTTGAGGCCATTCCCTGGCTCCTGGCCCTGCAGCCCTTGGCAATTGTCTCTCTCCAGCTTTCCTGGGGCTCCTTCAGGCCCTGCAAGGCCACCCTGAGCTCAGCCCAAAGCTTCTTCTGGCCAGGCTGAACAATCCCAGCTCTCTCAGCCTTTCCCCATTCATGAGTGACAGCCCCAGCAGATCCCCTCATTTAAACGAGTCTGGAAGACACCAAAGTCCCTCTGCTTCATTCCCTGACCACCTGAATGGGGCATTGTCATTCAAGGTCACCTCTGGGGCAATCCTGTCCCCCCTGGGGTGGCTGCCAGGGCTTCCCACAGCTTTAATTCCACAGGAGCAGCTCAGCAAATCCTTCTCCAGAACACTCAGCTATTGTTGGCTGGGGATTTTGAAGAGGAAGTACATTAGAACCATTTCTAAATCCATCCAGGCTGAAAAGGAGCCCGGGGCAGGAGTGACACCTCTGGGAGGGGATGGTGGAGGCTCAGGGATGTTTTCCAGGAGCTCTGCGTGGGAGGGAGCTCGGCCTGGCACAGCCTCCAGCTGCTGGGAATGACCCTGCAGGAACAAGAGGTACCTGGAGGCTTCCTTGGATTTGTTTGTGCCTTGTTATGGAATAAAAGGTGCACAAGGAGCTGCTGAAACACAGGGACAGAGCCAGGACTCTGCTCTTGTGCCTCAGCTTCCCTCAGGAGAACATTTCCCTGGAGAATTCTGTGCCTGCAGGTGCTGCCACAGCCAAGGGAACACAACTGCTGTGGACATGGAGAGGGTCCCACACAGGACTTAATTGTTAATTAACAGCTTCTTGTGCTGATTGTCACTGTGAACCCTTTATGTGAGCACTCAGGAGTTTGAGTGAAACACAGAATTCATCACAGGCTGGTGAATTCTCATGGAATCATGGAATGGGTTGGGAAGGACGTTAAAGCTCATCCCATTCCAACACAAACCATGGCAGGGACACCTCCCACTGTCCCAGGAGCTCCCAATGTCCAGCCTGGCCTTGGGCACTGCCAGGGATCCAGGGGCAGCCCCAGCTGCTCTGGCAATTCCATCCCAGCCCCTGCCCACCCTGCCAGGGAACAATTCCTGCCCCAGATCCCAAGATCCAGCCCTGCCCTCTGCCCCTGGCAGCCATTCCCTGGCTCCTGGCCCTGCAGCCCTTGGCAATTGTCTCTCTCCAGCTTTCCTGGGGCTCCTTCAGGCCCTGCAAGGGGCTCTGAGCTCTCCCTGGAGCTTCTCCTCTCCAGGTAGGACATTCCCAGCTGTGCCAGCCTTTGCTGCCAGCAGAGCTGCTCCATCCCTCTGCTCATCCTGGAGCCTCCTCTGGGCTCTCTCCAGCTCCCAATGCTTGGGAACAAAATTCCTGTTGAGCTCCAAAGCCGAGCACCACAACTTTCAGGTGCATTCCAGGACAGAAATTTTCCCTCTTCCCTTTTAAACCCTGGTGGCACCAGCAGCCTCTGGCAGCGCCTGCTCCTCTGGAGCTGAGCTGAGATCAGCCCAGCTCAGACAGGGGAGGGAGGGCTGGGGCTTGAGGTGCCCACTGGGCTGGGTGCCCTCCTCTGGGAGCAGGATCCAGGCTCTGGGAGCAGGATCCAGGCTCAGGATCCAGGCTCAGGGAGGAGGATCCAGGCTCCTTTGGAGCAGTCAGAGCTGCTGTGCTGTGCCTTTGCTGGGAAGCAGCCGGGTGTAAGTCAGTCCTGCTGTTCCCAGTGCTGGCAGCAGCTCCATGAGGTGCCAGATCCAGCTGTAATTCCCTGTGTTTGGAGTCCAAAGTCAATCTGCAGCTCTGCTGTGACCCTCCCCATGGCCTCAGCACCCAAACAGGCACCACGAGCTCCCCTTGGCCTCTCTCCACACCCAGCTGGGATCAGACTTGGCAGCTCTGGCTCCTGGAATGGCTTTTACAGCTCTGGCACCCCATGGCTGCAGGGATTTGGGTGTTGAAGAGATCAGGGACTCATAAAATCCTGGAATCTCAGACTGGTTTGGGCTGGAGGGACCTCAAAGCCCACCCAGAGCCACCCCTGCCATGGCAGGGCTGGCACTGGGTGGGCTCTGAGGTCTCTTCCCAGCCCAAACCATTCCATAATTTCATGAAAACTGACTCTTGACTGCCTTTATTTCCCTTCCCTGCTGAGGTTTCAGTGTGATATTTATCACACAAACCAAGGTAGATGTCAAATGACAGATTTTAACACCATTTCCTCAGCTCTCCCAAATCAGAGCACCTCAATTTGATGTCAAATGACAGATTTTAACACCATTTCCTCAGCTCTCCCAAATCAGAGCACCTCAATTTTAATTTCCACCAAGCAAACATCTCCAACCCTCTCTCCTGTTGCTGCCAGAAGCATCAGCAGCCATCCCCAGAAACCCAGGCTGTCCAGAGGAACTCTCACCTTTAGAAAACACAGCTCTAGCACATCTTCCTGTGGTTTGCTGGCACAGAAATAAACCCTGTGCTACTCTCCGAGCAAAAAAATCAGCGCAGTACATCACCCACCTCCCAGATTTTCTGCCTTCCCAGTGTTCTGTTGCTTCTCCAGAGCCATGAAGGATGCACTGACCTCCCTGGCTCGTTTCCCTGCCATTCCTTCAGGGCTGAGTAGGTCAGACACCGTTCTTCATTGCACAAGGCTGTGCAGTTTCCTCACTCCAGCTCCCGGGAGTTTTGCAACCCAGCAGCATGCAGGGCACCCCGAGCTGGGGCAGCAGCACATCCCTGGAGGAAGAGCTGCAAACACCTCCTGCAGCCCCCACCTGTCTGGGGCAAAGCTGGAGCCTCTCCCCACCTGGGCAGGGCCGTCCTTGGCTGCTCACCTGGGCAGGAGCTCGCTGGATCTAAAGAGCCCCTAAAGAGTGTCCTGTGTGCTGAATTCTCCCCAAAACCTCACTTTTCTCTGATCACAAGCCAGAAATTCCATTTTGCTTGCACACAGAATATACATCCCACTATTCCCAAGTGGAAAATCCAGCAATCCTCCCTAAAATAAAACCTGATCCGAGGTTGATCCAGGGATGCCTTGGGATTGCTCCCAGCCCCAAGGAGCAAACACTGGCACGGCTGGAACAGCAAACAAACCCTGGCAGCAGCTCCTGCTCCTCCATCAGTTCAGCTCTGCTGGGCTCCTGGAGCTTCCCAGATTTCCTCCAGCCCCGCTCCCATCCCAGAGCTCCCGGACAGACCTGGCGGCTCCAGCCGCTCCTGGGGAAGGAGGAGTGGGAAGATGCCAGCTCTGGGAAAGGCTCTGGATGATGGGTGTGAGGGGCTGAGCTGGCTCCTGGCTCCTGCAGGGCCACCAGCCCGGCTGCCACTGGCCCGGAGGAGAGAGGGAACAGGGAAACACCCGGGCTGGGAGGGAGGGAGGGAAGGAGGGAGGGCAGCGGGAGCCGTGCCCGGCTGCAGGTGCCCAGGTGGGAGGTGCTGAGGGGGCAGCGGAGCTCCTGGCATGGGAAATGCAGAGCCAGAGGCACAGCAGCACAGGAGAGAGGGGATCATGGAATTCCTGAGTGGGAAAGGACCCACAGGGATCATGGATCCAGCTCCTGGCCCTGCCCAGACCCCCCAACAAGCCCAGCCTGGGCATCCCTGGATGCTCCTGGAGCTCTGGCAGCCTCGGGGCCGTGCCCATTCCCTGGGGAGCCTGGGCAGTGCCAGCAGCCTGTGGGGAAAGAAGAGCCTTGCCCTAAAAGCCAACCTAAATCCCTGCTGGGCCAACTGCAGCCCCTGCAGAGCTGAGCTCAGGCTCCTCTGGCCCAGGGAGGTGCTGGATGTTGGGACATTCCCGGCGATGCTGCCCCGAGCTCCAGCCTGCAGGGACAGGGAACATTTTGGGGTGTGAGGAGGAAGGGGAGGTCATTTCAGGGCTCCCCTCAAACACCTCACCTGATGGGAACCCTGGCTCTCTCCAGCCACCACCAAAACATCAAAAACCCCTCCCAAAATCTCACCCTCTGCTTTCCAGGGGAGGAAGAAGCGTCTGTGGTTACCAGAGAGCCAGAGGGGGAGTCATGGATGGCCACCTGGAAGCTACAAAATGAATTTATCAGATTTGAAAGATGCATTTGAGGATGCTGCTGGTGTGGGGTCATCTCAGCATTCCTGGGGGACAGAACACATCCATCCCATGGGCCCTGGCAGGGACAGTGGCCTCCGGGATGGGATGGGATGGGATGGGATGGGATGGGATGGGATGGGATTGATGGGAT